TCTTTGCGGTTTATGTTTTCGATAACACCTATGATTTCCTCAACGAGGACTCTTAGTAGGTTAGTTTTGCTTCCCACGAGAGGGGTCAATTTAACAACCATAGTGCATCGTGTGAGTCTAATGCTGAAACCTCAGGATCCACTAAGCCTGATGAGCCCTTTCGTACCTAGCTTGAGGTAACCTTGGAACATAGTTCGGGTACTATCCCTAAAGCGTAAGATGTCATCAACCTCTAGTCGTTGCATCTTCATTCCAAGCAACCAAAAGAAGCAATATTAGTTTTTTGATCATAGTCCTTTTGGTCATCTTTACTAGTACTTGTCTATAAAGAAGAAGATATGTATGTGTTTGTGAAGAAAATGCCTAGGTTTGAAAGGCTTTACCTCTCCTCAATAGCGATCAAGCTCACTTCAACAATGAAGGTTTGAATGAAAGGCTTTACCTCTCCTGTAAATGGTTATAATGCAACACTACCAAAATCAAATGCAAGCCTAATTAATTTGTCATGAAAAACATGGATCCAAGGTGTCCTAGCTAGCTACCATTTATTTACATGATTAGTTTCGATGAATTAATTAAGATTGGGTACCCTAATTTAAACCATACTTCCATTCTCACCTCATCCTTCTCATAAATATTCACTCACCAAACACAATCGTATCTGTGTGAATGTTTATGAGAAGGTACATGGAGTCGGAACTAGCCAGAATTTAGATAATGTTATCCGTCCATGCGGCAAAAAAAGGCCTCCTGAGCAGGGTAGCGGACTCGTCCACCACCCCTTGCTGATACACCGCCAGCTGCCAGTCGGCGGCCATCTGAGTCGAAGAAGATGGCACTAAATTTTCCTCCACCTCCAACCGCCGGCTATTTGTGTCGCCCGTGGTCTCGTCGGAGGAGTTTTTGTTCGGCCGCCTGGCCTGGTCCCGGGCAAGGAGATTGTTGCTAGCCATGATACGCTCGATGTCGTACGTTGAACTGTCGAAATTGGTGACGGCATTTACGCCTCTGAACTTAATCGCCGCTATGTCATACGCCTCCGCGGCTTCCTCTTGAGTGCCTGAGATTAATTGCATCCACGCAAGTTTAGTTGATCAAGTATATACAAAACCAAGTTTGAGTGTTAAAAAATGGAACATAATTAATGCATAATTATGCAATATATTTACATATGGGTGTTGGGAACTCACCGAAAGTTCCTAGATAAAGGTCCTTGTTTCCCGCCACTCGTCCGATTCTAGCTTGCCATCTTCCATGCTGATGATGTCTGCTAATAACAGTAAGAAAATTTTGAAAACCCATGGTTACATTTTATTTTCAAGGAGATATTTACGGAGTATTTTCTAGAGAGGGTAAATATGAAAGAAAAAGGTAAAAGCCTTTTTATAGCGGACTAAAGAGAAATATTCACATTAAGTATTTGAGTGAGGCATGCGAAAGGGAATATAGAGAAAGACCTTGTCACTCCCCTATAGATTGATGCTCCCCTTGAGAACCCACTGCTCTTTCTGAGAAAATTATACATACAAAAAAGAAATTAAAGAAAAATTAGGAAAAAGAAAAGGAATCTAGTAAGAAAAAAGAAGCTAAGTAGCTATACACAGTAATTAACTTGCCTTCTTAAGTGAGCAACATATTCTTGCCTACTCATGCTCTTCATTCCTTCAATCTCTTGATGATAATTCTCAAGCTTTGTTCCAAAAAAAATACACACATTTTGACAAATTATAGAGAATTTCAGAACATATTACTAATTTAAGGTGTAACCAAATCTAAGAACCGACAATTTTAACTATGAAGCACGCTAACGTAATTTTTGTAAACACATCTTTAATATAAACTATAAAGAAAATCACTTCCTGATCGAACACCATTTTGATATTCTATACGGAGTATCACTTACACAATTATTACAAAACACGCTCGCTATCGTATTCTATATAATTACTCATCCAATTATAAAAACACCATATGCAAAAGACCTTGTAGACCAATGACTCGTTATGACTCTCCCAAATGAGAGGTCACGTGCAGTGGCGGACCTAGAGTTCTATGAGAGTGGGTTCATTTCTTACATGTTAGACATATAATATTTTTTTCCGTTCCAAACTATTTTACATTTTACGTAGTATGTAAAATGAAACAAAATTTCAATTTTTTTAAAAATTCATTTTTTAAAGATTGGTATAGAAATTAAAAATGTGAAATTTGCACTAAATAGGACTAAAAGATAATGACTTTCCTTATGTAGGACCTAAACTTTTTTATTTCTAGGACTTAATAATGACTTAGTGGGAGGAATAATGTCTAGTAATAATGGACATTTACTTGAATAATGACTACTTAATAATGACCAAAGATCCTACATTAAGAAATAAAAACATATGGTCCTATATTGGGAAAGTTATTATGTTTTAGTCCTATTTAGGTAAATTTCTCATTAAAAATTTAGTCAAAAGTTCTATAAAATAAGAAGTAATGAGAATATTAAACACCTAAATAAACAAAGGATACTTTGTTGAAAACTAAGGCAGCACCTTGAGCAAAAAAAAAAGTAGATACTCTATGATACTCCGTAGTATATGTAGCTAACAGTGTGAACACCCTAATATACTTTATACTCCTACTGTTCTTAAAATATCAAGTTTTTTCCTGAGGTAAAATATCAAGTTCTTTCAATTCATTTTATTTACATATTGGTATAGAAAAAAATTACATATAAAAAAATTACATGAAAAGTTCTTCAGAATAAAAGGTGTTAATTAACAATATTTTATTTTATCAAATAACCAATGAAAACATAGAAATAAATAAAAGTTTCTGCGATTGCTGAAAAAATAAGTGTGACAAATATTTTAGGACGCAGCTGAGGGAGTAATTATATTAAGAGCTGTAGGACTTACTCCGTATAAAATAGATAGGAGTCCATGAATATGCAGGGGGTACTGTACTACTACTGTAGCTAGCATTAGAAAAAAAAATTTAGTGGGTGCACTTGACCCCACTTGGACCATTGTAGGTCCGCCCCTGGTCACGTGTTTGATTCCCAGCACAGACAATAACTCTACGAACTTTAATAGATTGAAAATATATGAACAGATATTACATTGTAATAGAATTATTATTGTAAAAAAAATAATGTATTATGACAGCATATGAGAGTCCTATGCTATTGGGTCTCGAAATAGAACTTACCCCTCGAATCCTCGATCACCCCCACCCCCACCCCACCCCACCCCACAATCCCCTAGAGCAAATCTTGATGTCCTAATAATTAACATCCAATGACCGAGTCAAAATTAAAGAAGCATAGGATAATAATAATAATAATAATAATAATAATAATAATAATAATAATAATAATAATAATAATAATAATAATAATAACAAACCGGGAAATTGATATGAGTAGAAGGTCCCCAATACTTGATTGCCGCCAAATCGTATGCCCTCGCCGCCTTCTCTTCATTGTCATAACCCCCTAAAAAACCCCCACCATTTAAAACTCATTAGCGCGCTCCTACGGAGTAATCACTCACAAAATTGTTTTCCCCGTTTCTTTGGATTTTTAAGTATTTTAAAAAACAGACAACCTTGTCAATAAAAAGATACTCCCTCCCTCCCAGAATACATGTTCATTTTTTAGTCAAAATTGATAAACTTTGATCTCAAATTAAATAAAAATGATATTATATATTAATACAAAAATAATTTTATTAGATTTATCATATACGATAAATTTAATATATTATTTAATCTAATTAATATACAATATATATTTTATTTAATTATTAGTTAAAGGTTTAAAACGGGTGATTGAAAAAAATCAAAATTAGACAAATATCTTAAGACGGGGGAGTATATATAACCCAACAAGGAGTTGATTTAACAATAACCTTGTCCAATTTGATTCAGGATATAGAATTCACCCTAAATAAGACTAAAACACAAAGAAAAATACCAAAATAAGACTTTCCTTTTTTTCCATAAAATATGACTTTTCACTGTAGTAATGTGGCACTATACATGCATGTGCACATTACTATATTTTTTTGGTAATGTACATGACCATGTTTGTTAATGTAAGTCATATTTCGAAAATAAAAATATGTAAGTCTTATTTTGGTATATTTTCAATATTTTTGTCCTACTTTGGTATTTCGACTTTCAAGATAATCAAATAAGACAAATAATCCGAGACCTAAGAAGTACTAACTCCCTCTGTCTCTACAAGATTGACACAGTTTGACTTTTTTGGTTAAACTGTGGTACTTTTTATTACGAATTAAATATAATGTAAATTAATTAAATATTATTTAAATATTGATATTTCAAAACTATATTTTAAAATAAAACCAATGTACTAAATTTGCAATATGGCTAAATATACTTTTTCTATAGCTCATGATCAAAAGATGTCACAGTTTGAACAAAAAAGTCAAACTGTGGTAATATTTTAGAGACAGAAGGAGTATTGGACTAAAAACAGAGAGTAATACATGTTTAATTACCTAAATACACTGGAATCATTATTTGGCAGATAATTGCATCCCCAAGCGTGGTCAAGGAAACCAAACCAAGATAAATAATGTTAGTGATATTAAACATATATATATTGACTTAAAAAAGTTGATAATCCTAATTCCTAAATAACTCACCTTGCTTTCCCTTCCTGCTCTGCCCTTCCTTCATGCAACTATTATCCCATAAATGTGCTTCATATCTCCCTGTCCATCTGTGCCTGATGGGCATTAATGTCATTTCATCAACTCTCAAAGTCTATGCTATGCTAGGTGGGTGCACTTGTGAATAAATTTAGTCCTTTTATATCGGTTGAGTCAAATTAGTCTCTGTAACTTAAAGAAAATGTAAATCCATTTATCTTAACAGTGTTACTGAAAAGCTGACTTGACACGCTAATTGACACACTTGATTCGTAGCGGCACATTAGCACATTCAGTCTTTCCAATAACACCGTTAATTTAAATTCAGTTAGTTTAATTTAATTCACATATTTTAAGTTTTAGAGACCAAATTCACTCGCGAATGCACTCATAATGACCAAAATAAGCATTAATTCCATCATAAATGGAAGCAAAAAAAAAGTACTAGCAAAAGAGAGAATGGGCTCACAAACCTTGTGACACCTCTGTACTGTGATGTTCTTTGGCCAAATGTGTCAAGAGACTTCCTATGAACAATTTGTTTATTACTATTGGCCAAAACCTCAAGCCCTCTCTTCTTGCTCCCACACTCTGAACCAGCAGCAGCCAAGGTCTCTTGTTGTTGTTGACTTGGGCGCGACGACCCGTGGCTCATTGACAAGCTCAAAGCCCGAAAATCCCCGTAACCCGTCGCGCCATTATTCGGAGCCCATGATTCTCCTCCTTCTTTGGACACTCTTGCATTATTATTGTTATTATTATTATTATTGTTGTTATAGCAGAAACTCTTCATCCCAGCAGTTGGCATTTGGTAATCTTGGTAGTACATGTTGTCCAAGCTTAGGGCCATTCCTCCACTTCTTATGTCATACTCATGGGCTCCCATTCCAATGAAGTCCTCCAGTTTTGGGGTTGCTGCAACCATACATTCCCACAAAATTTTACAATCGAAAATCACATTTCGTGTAATTCGATTCAAAAAAAAGTGAAATTGGACGAATATGTAAGACGAAGGTAACAATTTATAATAAAGAAACACAAGAGGAGATTTTGAAAACCTTGTGGTTGAGACCTGTTGAGGGCCTCCATTAGACAGAGGGAGCCATCAGATTTTAGGGGCATCACAGACAATGAAGAGAAGAAGGCTGCTGCTGTTGGTCTTGTTGGGGTTGTAGTTTGACCCTGCCCTACATAATAAGGGACAATAGGGTAGTTCATGTGTGAGGGAGGGGTGTGTGGGAATGAAGAAACAGGGGCATTACTAGGACCATGACCCTCCATTTGTGGGGATAGTGTGAATCCCAACCAGTTGTTGTTGTTGTTGCCATCATCATTACTTAGGGAGTTCATTCAAAATTGTGGGTGTGCAAAGATTTCTGCAAGGAAAAATAAAAATCTAAGGGAGTGTTTGGGTGTTTTTAAAAAGTGGAACTAAGTTCTGGGGAAGAAGCAATGGCAGTCATTGTTTGGGTTTTTTTCTCTTTTATAAATGCTGGAGAGTATGTAGATACTGGAATCTAAAGGACTGTATTTGAAATTCCAAGGGGGAAAGGAACAAAATTTATGCAGTTCCCAAACAAGCACTTAAGCAGGGCCCTAAGCTCATAGAATACCAACATTGGGGGGGTTTAATGCCCAGAAAAAGAAAAGTACTGAAAAGGACATGGAATACTCCGTACCACCTCATTAGTCAATCTCATCATTTACTACTTTTAATCCGGTGTATCCACTAGCTTATACACTAACTTTCTTGAGTCTCTTGAGTCTGATTGATTCTGATCTGATTGAAATATGTTTTAATCTGATTTGATTTGATCTGAATATGGTTATATTTAAAGCTATTTCTGATCTAATCTGATCTGATCTGATCAAATTATAATAAGAATAAGTAATAAGTAAAAAAAATAAGTTGAAGAGAACATATCCTACACATAGTATATCTTCAAAAGTTAATTTTGTGCTAGTGGGCGTCGTGCAGTTTCCCAAGGCAAGAAGTGCCAGAGTAGTTAGTAATATACGGCTTACATATAATACGTCAATATGTACGTACGTGTATAATACATTAGAATTTTATAAAATACAACTTACTATGCATTTTAAACGTTCGACGTATAGATATAGATATGTACAAGTTTTAAACGTTTTCTATTTTAAAATACGTCTTATTATATGTTTATATATATATATTAACATATAAACGTCAAATCCACACATATTTATCGAATGATAGTCATCAAATCATATTAAGGTAAATAAACAAAATGCAAAAACCTTTTAAACGAAATATTTCCAATAGAATTTTCAAATAAGAATCTCTGTATATTTAAATATTTATTTGAAAAATATATATGCTCCCTTCATTAGGAAAAAACATCCTTATTTGACTTTCACACACATAGTTTAAAAAATGTTAAAAATAAAAACTTTATAGTTTGTATTTTCTTAGAAAAAACAAAGAAGAGTTGCGAGTCACTCATTCCTTTCTTAAAAAGAAAATGAAATTTTTGAGTCAACTACGAGGGGGTAAGACCCAACTTCGATTACTTGCAATTGCGGTGGAAAGCAACTATGCTAAGCATAAACCCTCTGCGAGTACCATGTGCGGGTTTCACTCTCTGCCACCAATTTATGATCAAAGTTCAATTTACATCCTTTCAATAACCGTCCGGCGGTCAGCTATGAGAGAGCCCTTGGGGATGGGGCTCATCCTTTCAAAAGTTACTTTTGTGGTTGATGTAAATTTTCCCTTTGTCCCAAACATATTGTCTCACTTCAAACAATGTGCAAAGTCATATCTCTCAGGTCTCACATCATCTGAAATATATTCCCGGGTATCTTCGATTTTCTGATAAGGGGGAAAATATACTCCAGAGGTCCTTAAAAGTGTAGTAATGTTCTGTGAGGGCACATTCTGTTTATTTGACCGTTAGGATTAAAAGTTTCGTTACTTTGACAGATACTAAATTTTACTTTCATATTCATAATTTTATTAAATTTAAATAAAATCTTTCAATCCTAACACCGAAATAGATAGAATTTACCCTCCGAGTAACATCACAAACTTTAAGGACCCTGGAGTATATTCTGGATAACGTAGAGCTTGAAAATTTTTAATAGAAAATCAAAAGTATCCCAAAATATAATTCAGAAAATGTGAGATCTATGAGCAATTGTAAGACAATCAAGAATATCGGGAAGTAATTTTCTAGCACAAAATTTGTAAAAGAGGAGAATTAAGATTGGATGAATTCTTGGGAAGGTGGGGAGAGAGGTGAGTACCAACTCCTTTTGATTGAAAGCATGATGAGTAAAAAAAAAAACTCATAGGATAGGGGACCATCTGCGCTTTTACCCAAACAAGTGCATGGCGTTATAAATTAAAAGGGGGTTTCGATCCCTCTATGCTTACCCCAATCCCATCAATATAATAATACTCCCTTCGTCCCATGAAACATGAGAGTTTTGCTTTTTAGGAGGGATTTAAGGGGAGTGTATTTTGGTATTGAATTTCCAAAAATGTCCTTTGATGTGATGAGTAAAAGTATGATTTGATTGATAGATTATTAGTAAAATTGTATGATGTGATAGTTAGAGTATGAAAAAGTAAGAGGTAAAAGTAACTTTTTAATAGAAATGAGAAGTGTTTTGTGGGACGGATAAAAAAAGAAAGGAGAAAGGTTTTATGGGACGGGGGAATATATAATAATAATAATAATAATATTGATTTCCTTCCCTTTTTTTTTTATCTTTCATTCTTTCTTACCCATGCCCCCCAACCTGTCCTTCATTTTGTTTGTGGGAATCAGAAAGGGACATTTACCCATACTTTGGCCCTGCAAGCCAAACTAGTATAGTATAGCTAGGGCCTCCATTAATTACCACGCCCTGGCCTTTTTTTTTTTACTTTGCCTGCATGCATTTGCTTTTTATTTAAATCTCATTCTTACATCTCTCTGTATATGTCTAGCTAGCTGGTCAAACATCCTTTTTCTTTAATTAAATTGGGAATTGGTACCACTCCCTCCATTTATATTGCATGCCACCCTCTTTAATTAGTTTTACACACCCTCTTTAATTAGTTTTACTGTGTGTAAGATCTAGTGAAAGTTTTCAAAAATAATACACAACTTGCTACTTGCTAGTGAGATCTAGTGAAAGAAGTTTTCATAGATATTTTATGTTATATTATTGTGTAATTTTGCCTGTCATGTTCTTCCTCCCGGTCCTCTCATTTTAGGATCTACCACCGCTAATGGCATGTTTATTCAACTTTAAGTTATAGTTATTGTTGATGATTTTTGTATACTATTTTGTATTTTTAGATTTACTTAGATCAAACAAAAATTTTAATAAACGTTATTAACGAGTTGGGATGATTTAGAATGCACGCTCGTTCACCGATATTACAAATTTTGTATTGGGATGCAAGAGGCAGAGCAACCGGTTGGAGTAAAGCTGCTAGTTCAGCTCGAAAAATTTTCATTTTGGACATAGGTACTTTATGAAAATCTTTTGAGTACTCGTTTTAGATTACCCCGAAATAACTTTAATGTAAAAGTGTTTATAGGCAATTTGCTAAGTTTATTAAGTTGTTCTTCGTATACTGATTCTCTTAATACTGCTGCGCAACGTTACTACCCCTCCAAAATTTCCTACAAAGTATGCCGAAGGAGAGTAGAATTTTGTGAGACGAGAATGTTGATTATAAGTTTTGCGGAATAAATAAAACTACAAAAATAAAGTGAAGTGTGGAAATTAAATAGCAAAAAAGAATACCATGATTTTTATATTGGTTCACCATAATTTTGGCTAGTCTAGTCCTCGAGAGACTCTCTTGAAATTTCATTACCTTGGTTTGGCTTACGAGTGCCAACAAACCATTACAACCGCTCGCAGGTGTATCTTCTTCAAGAGTTCACATTGCTCGAGCTTCTCGCACCAAGCCTTTATACACTGCACCTCTCAACACTTAACATACTAAAATTACTTTATCTAAGCAAATCAGAATACAGACAAAAAGATACTCCCTCCGTTCTCAAAAAGGGTTACTAGTTTGATCAAGTATAAAAATAAAAAAGGTTAAATTGTAGTTGACTTCCAATTTTACCTTGATGTGATGGATAAAAGTGAGATGTAATGAATAGATTATTAGAAAAAAAAAGTATGATGTGATATGTGAGGTTTGAAAAAGTAAGGATAAACGACCGTAAAAGTGATTTTTAATAGAAAATGAATGTGTTTTGTTAGAAGTGGAAAAATGAAGGATAATGTTTTTTTGAAAACGGAAAGAGTATAATTTTCTTAACTCCTCTTATAATATTAGCTCTCTCAAAGAGTAAATGGGGAGATACAATTAAGCTTTATGAGTGACGAAGTTAAATTATCGTTGGAAAGAAACTAGCCCAAACATTAGAAAATTATACAGCCTATCTGTTTAGGCATTTTTAATTTGCTAACCGATTGACCAGCCTAAAAATTGGATTTCAAGATCGCTACTGCGTGCTGGAACAAGCTTCAGGCCCGTTTGGTACATGGAATTCAAACTGTAGAATTGGAATTAAGGATTTCAATTTCAATTCTTGTGTTTGGTAGCACAAAAATTATGTGGATTTGGAATTGATAGTGCAAAAAATGAATTAGAATTGGCAGAATTCAATTCTATGGAATTGAATTCTATGAAATTTCATTTCCAATCAATTCCAATTCTGTCAATCCCGTATACCAAACGGACCCTCAGAATTTGAATTTGAATTCGAATAAGATTCATTTATATCAGATTAGATTAGTTCATATCATAAGTCCAAGAGAATGCATCCTAAATTAGGGTTAATCAATGCGTTTCTAACAACATTATTCTTAAAAATTCAAATTGGCCATTGATTAAATTTCCTCCATCCCTAAATAAACTTCCTCTTTCGTTTTTTCTTTGTCCCCAAATAAACTTCTCTTTTCCCTTAAAAAACCCCTTTTACCTCTTACTTTTCTATACTCTACTTATCACATCATACCTTTTTACTAATAATCTACATATCACATCTTACTTTTACACATCACATCAAGGGTATTTTTGGAAAGTCAACGCCAAAATATTCCTCCCTTAAATTCTTAAAAAAGTCAAAAACAGAAGTTTATTTAGGGACGGAGGGAGTAAGACATAATAATACTTGTAAAAATCACCCTAAATAGTACTAAAGCATAGAGAAAAGTACCAAAATAGGACTTTCATATTTTTTTCCCGAAATAGGACTTTGCACTGTGGTAATGTGACTTTGCATTGTGGTAATGTGGCAGTGTACATGTGCACATTACTATACTTTTTTGGTAATGTATATGACTATGTTTGGTAATGTAAGTCCTATTTCGGGAATAAAAACATAAAAAACCTATTTTAGTATATTTTTAATGTTTAAGTATTACTTTGGTCTTCTTCCCTAATACTTAGGAGTCCCGGCCACTTGATATATATGAAATGGGGTTCTATAAGAAGATTCCATTTCAAAAAATTTTCAAGAGCAGGAAACGTATCACTCCCTCCATTAGAGACTTGAGCTTTCCTCTACCACTAACCGCGTTAGTAATTATAACTTCGTATACCGGAGTACTTTTTCGGTCATTCTTCTCACTTTAACTATTTAAACAATTGACTACAAACTACGTGGTATAAAAAGATACTCCTTTATTCTTGATTTGATTACAAATTCAGAGTTACGAGCCAAAATATTTTTTCATTTGAAAATAATTTTATTTAGAATTTGATATATGAATGAGAAATAAAAATAATATATTAGTAATTAACGTCAAAAGTTCTACAAAATGAGATGAGACAAAAATATTTTATTTTATCAAAATATTAATGAAAATAAACAAATAAAAAAAGTTATCGAGAGGAGAGAAAAAAAATGAGATTGTAATCTAATTCGGGACGAAGTGAGTAAAAGTATTGCACTACTATAATAAAAGTATATACAATTATTACTCATTTTGTCTCATATATTTCCTCTCATTTTGACTTTTATGGTAATTTTTTAAACTTTGATTACAAATTTTTTTAAACTATGATATAAATTTAATTCCAATAGATTTATTTCAAAACAAAGTTTGGAAATATCATACTGTACATTTTTAAAATCTATATTAATGTATAAATAGGAATATTAATATTTAAACTTAAGATCGTGAAAAGTCAAAAAGTAAGAAAGATATGGGATGAAGGGAGTATATAATACTTCCTCTGTTCCTACGTATTAAAATTTGTCCAGTTTTGACTCTTTTCAGTCAACCATTTTCAAATATTGGCTTATAATTAAATAAAATATATATTATATTTTAATTAGATAAAATAATATTTTGAAAATATTTAATATAATAAATCTAATAAAACTATTTTTGTATGAATATCTAATATCATTTTTATTTTATTTAAGATCAAAATTTACCAATTTTAACAGGAAAAAGTCAAAACTGGACAAGTTCTGATTGAATCTGATCTGAATTTTTTAAGTTCTGATTTGATTGGGTCTGATCTGATATGATCTGATCTGATTGTGTCTGATTTGATTTGATCTGAGTGAATCTGATCTGATCTGATTTGGTCTGATCTGATGTGATTAGGTCTGATCTAATCTGATCTGATTTTAAAAAGAATAAGTAATAAGTATAAAAAATAAGTCCTACGGAACGGACCCTTACCCAATGACGAGGGAATACTCCGTAAAGAAGTATAAAGAATACTACATCTATCTTCGTATATTTGTCTACTTTGACTTTTTTTATTCATATTATATATGAGGTGTAATGAAATGAAATTCTGAAAGTTTTCAAAAGATAAAGGTAATAAAAGTCATTTTTATAGTGCTAAATTTCATCCCCTTTAATTTTTTGAAAGAGTCAAAACTACACATGTAGGATGTGAAGGAGAGTAGTCAAATGGTTCACATTCACAGTCCGGCCTCCGCAAGACCTCCAAACAAATATGTGAAATTTGAACTAAATAGTACTAAAACAGATGTCATTTTCAATATAGTATATAAATTTTTTTATTTTTTTTAAATAACATATATTTGAATAATGTAGAGTGGCGGAAACAATAATGTCCAGTGATGGTTGATATTTAATTTGAACAGTGTCCAGTGGTGATGAACATTTATTTGAACAATAACCAGTGGTACTACATTGGCAAATAAAAACATATGGTACTATAATGAAAAAGTCATTATGTTTTAGTACTTCCTCTGTCCTCGGCTTTCCCTGCATATATATACATACGTAGAAGAGTGCTCTCATCAAGAAAAAGAAAAGAGAAAGCATCAAAGCCAAATAAAACAAATAAAAAAAATCAAAGCAAAGTAAGGCAAGCTAAGATAATTTATATAGAAATAAGCATATATATATATATATATATATATGTCAGAAAGCTTGAAGAAATGGGTTCGTAGGGGACGGGTATGGTTGTTCGCGCCCGCAATATTCCTCTGGATCCCCGTGTTGGTAGCCTACGGCATTTGGCTAGGCATAGGCAACCCTTGGGCGAGTTGTGTCAACCTCCGCGCCCTCAAAGATTGGTTTCTCGCGCTTGGCATTTTGATGCTAATATCTGGCCTGGTTTCCTCTCTAGTTTGCTGCTTTATGTCGTGCGCTGAAGGGGGCGGCTCCTCAGATGATGATGCTTATGCTTATGCTGGAATGTACCTTTTTTGTGGGATTCTTTTGGACCTCGCGTGCCTAGGTTTTGCCATTTACGTGTCCGTCCTCACCAAGTACTCGGGGTCGTCGCCCCACCTGGCTGGACCAGGTCGGGCTTACCCCGAATACCGTTTCGACCACTTTAACCCTACTCTTCGGAGCAAGGTTAGCAACCCTTATAAGTGGGGTGCCATCATCACTTGCCTCGCTCCTTCCGATGCCTGTCTTGCCTTGAACACGACTTACCCC